GAGGGTCCCCTTCGAGCCGAGGAAGTCGAGCAGGACGGGGGTTGGGACATCCTCGGGACGTGCCCGCCCCTTGCCCTTTTTCTTATAGTCCGAAGTGAACGAGTCCCATTGGTCACGGGCGTCTGGCGCCGCGGTTCAGGTGTGTTTGACGAGCAGCAGGAGGTTGCGCCGTGCAGGCCGAGGCGTCCCCCCCGCGGGCTGGCGCTGAAGCTGCCCGCGGCGCCGGAGCCGTCCACGGCCGTCGTCGCGGGGGAGCAGCGGGGGACATCGGGAGCCGGCGGGGGGTTGACGTACGGCAGGTCCGCATTGACCCACGCGTCGGCACGAGCAGTTGACGTGACGGGCCGCAACGACGGAGACCACGTAACGCCCCGACTGGCGGCCAGGGGGCGGGCAGGGGCGTTGGAAAGGGCAGAGGACAGGGCGGGAGGGGTACAGGGCTGGGCGCCGGCAGCGGCGTCGAGTGGGGCGTCACCTTGAGCACTCTGGTTCCTGTCGACCTGGCCGCCCTCGGTCCGCACTCGATCCCAGGGGCCAGGGGCTCCACTACTGGGGAAGCCAGACGGTGGCGAGGGCTTCCCAGCCCCTTCTGGCGCCAGCGTGTCATCGCAGCCTTGGACAGGTGGTTCTGGCCTGCCAGTCAGAGCACCTCTTCGCGGTCCAGGAGTGCCACTGCCAGACGCGTTGGCCCGCGCGCCTCTGGGTGGCGGCCTTTCGTAGCGGGTCCTCAGCGCGGCGACGAGGCTTTGACCAGGTGCGCCCCAAGCAGCGGCGGCATCGCCTGCAGTAGGCGTGCGCCCGGGGGCCTGTGAGGGACCGGGAGGGGCCTTCTGGTTTCTGACACCGCCGTCGTTGCTCTGTCCACGAGCGCCGCTGAAGGCGGCAAACACGGGAGAGAGGGGGGTTCCCCCCGAGCCTTGGTGAGGCTCAGGGGAGGCCCGCTGGCTTCTGACTCCGCCATCTCCACCAGGTTCGGCCTGCTGATTTCTGACACTGCCAGCCCCCGCGTCTCCGACACGTCGGTGAACAGACCCTAGCCTCCGACACGTCGGAATTGAGAGCGCAGCGGAACGCTGCGATAACGGGAGCGAAGCTACCAGGTTCCGCCAGCTGGTCTTTGACACCGCCGTCGCTGCCACGGAACGCGGCAAGAACGGGAGAAATGGAGGTTCTTTCAGAGCCCTGGTGAGGCTCAGGGGAGGCCCGCTGGTTTCTGACTCCGCCATCGCAACCAGGTTCGGCCCGCAGGTCTCTGACACTGCCATTGCTACCAGGCCCGGGGGACATGGAGGTTCCATCGGGGCCCTGGTGAGGCTCAGGGGAGGCCCGCTGGTTTCTGTCACCACCATCACAGCCATGGTCCGGGCCCCCTTCCTTTCCCCCCGGGGGGGGTGCGGGAGGGGGGCACGAAATGTGGCAGGGGCGGTGAGGGAGAATCGGCGTCCTGAATTCGGTCGGGCCCACACGGGCGCCGCGACGTCGGCGAGGGGGGGGCCGAAAGGAACGGGGCCCCCCGAGCCTCCCTCTTCTCCTTTTCCCTGCCTCCCCGTAGCGCCACGAAGTGTGGCAGTGGACAAGAAAACTGAGCGATCCCGCACGTCGGGCCCACGCGCGCCCAACGCGGGAGGGTCCCCAGCGAGAGAAGAGCCGTGTGGAGGTCCTGGAGAAACGGCAGTCGATTCCTCGGGAGCCGTGGTTCCGTGGGCCTCCTCCACCTACTCCTCCTCCTCCTCCTCATTATCCACATCGTCCGCGCCCACGGCGAAGACTTGGGCCCTGCCCCCCTTCACCTCCACTTCCGCCTCCTCAGCCTCCGCGTCGACGAACTGCCCTTCCTCGTCCACCACCTCCTGCGCCTCCTTCACCTCCTCGAAACCCTCCTCGACGCCCTCCTCGATGCCCTCCACCGTCGACTCCGTTGGGTACCCAGGATACTCATGATGGTGCTGCTGGGGTTCCGCAGATGGTAGCGTCGATACACTCGGCAGCGCTGTCGAGGATGCAGGCGTCGCCAGAGCAGCGTCGTACGCGTCGTCCCCCCCCAGCTGCGACGGCCTTCCCCACGCCCTGCCCCAAATCCTTCCGCACGTCCTCCTCATCCTCCTCCACCACGCGCGCGCCGGCGTGCGACGCAACGTCGGCAGCCGCGAACTCGGCGGCCAGCGCCAGCCTGGCCACGGCCAGCCAGAGGCCCGCGCGGGCCGCAGCGGCGGCGGCCGCAGCGCAGGCGCTGGCGGCGCCGACAGCGCCAACGCCACCGGCGTCGGCAGCGTCAGCGGCGCCAGCGGCGCAGAGCGCGGGGGCCCACAGGAGGGCGCGGGTCGCGCCAACGCTCCCGAAGGCGTCGGCGGCGCCCGCGCTGCCGGCCGAGGCCAGCGGCCAAGCCGCGCTGGCCGCGCCGACCGCCCACGGGGCGTCGACGGCGTTGGCAGCGGCGGCCGAGGGGCGCCGGCGGCGCCAGCGGCGCCAGCAGGACGGCGCATTTGGGCCGCGCCGACATGCCCGGGAGCGTCGGCAGCGCCCACAGCGCCCGCGGGGGGCGAGAGGGCGCGCAGCCCGGCCCGCGCCGAACGCCCAGGGGGCGTCGGCAGCGAAGGTCGAGGCGGCAGCGCCACCAGCGCCAGAGGCGCTCGCAGCAGCAAGCGCGCCGCCAAGAGCGGCGGCGCCAGCGAGCCCTGGCGGGCCCGCGACGACCGCGGCGGCGGCAGCCAAGCGGCGACCGGCAACGGCACGGGCCTGCTGCCGTCGCCGCGCCGCCGCGGCCTCCATCATGCCAAGGCTGGAGCACTGCACCTGGCCAGGGGCGTGCTTGAGCTCAGGCCCTGAGCCAGAGGCGGACCACAGCCACGGTGCAAGCGGCATTTTGCCACAATAATGTTTGCTACATTGAATTTATGTACGCGGCATCGCGCTTATGTAATTCAGAATGTACGTCATCTGATTGGCATTTCGAGGACCTCCTGCAGCTTGAGGGTTTTCTGGTAGCCCGATGGTGTCCTCAGGTGGTGCGGGGGGGTCGGGGCCGTCTTGGCCAGTCGGTTCGTTTGGTGGCCGTTTCCTGCTAATGTTGATTTATATCGGGGCCTCGTGTGAAGTTTTCGTTGATTGCTTGCGGCGCCACGGAAGCCGTTCGAGGATTTCCTGGGGGCCCTCAGGGGGCAGAAAAATTGAATGCCGAAAAACAGTTTGAAGCAATTGTTTCCAAACGGTGTTTGCACTCAGGGCGCTCTTCTTTCCGCTCCCACCGATTTCCTTGGTTCGGTGCAGTATCTGATTGTCCCCCATCTTGGTGCGGCCGTCCGTTCTAGCCGATGTTATAGATTCGGCTCTGTCCCCGGGTGTCCTTTTCTCCCCGGTGCTGCCCTGTTATGCCGTCCCGCTGCTGCTTGCCGTTGCCGCCAAGATTCTCCATTCGGCTTCATTCTGGCTTGTCATCAATTGCCCCACACCGTGGTGTTGCCTCCACCGTTCCCGCCAGCTCGTTCCTTACTAGCGAAAAAGGGTTCTAACAGCTGCTAAGGAGGACCAAACAGAAGTCCCAAAGGACTCCCAGAATCGCCGTTTCGCTTGAGACTTCCTCACAGTTTCGGACTGAAGAAGAGTCCCACATGCGAGACCCGGAAAGGTAGGAGATGGAACTGCGAGAATCGCCGTTTCGTTTAAGTCTTCCGCACAAATAAGAATTACCGAGATTGGTTTGCCTAAGGTTTCATGACGAATTAGGACACAAATGAACTCGTGTTGCTTCAGACTTCCGTACACTTCATGACTACAGGACCCGTTTCGCTTGAGATGTCTTCACAATGTATGACCACAGAGGTTGTTTCGCTTGAGACTTCCTTCTAAATTTAGGCAGCGCAGAAGCCCCGTTTTGCTTGCAACTGCTTCACAAGTTATCACCCCGGGAGGTGCCATGTCGTGCCGCGCGTGAACCACCGTCTGCGGCGAGGCAGGATCATCACCATTATCATCACCATCGCCATTTGATCCTGATCATGATCATGATCTGCACATCTGCTGCAATTCGGTTCTTGAATAATTGTGGTTCGGCCGCGTGCCCGATTGTCCCAGGTTGTCTTCGGCCCTGGTGTTGCCCCTCCCTCGCCGCCGACTTCCTGTCATCGGCCCTGCCCTGCGCTGCCGCCAACCTATTTCGGCCAGGTCTTGCCTCGTTGCTGCAGATATCCTTGCTTTGGCCTTGTACCCGATTGAGTGCGGCAATCTTGCTGCCCTCCTCCCCCGCCAGCTTCTCTGATTCGGCCCTGCCCTGGATTGTCTCCATCCGCCCTGATGTTTCCCCCCGCTCCCGCCAGCTTCCTTGATTCGGCCCCGCGTCTGGTCGTCCCCCCTCCGACCGTCCCTGGCTCTGGTGCTGCTTTCCGTTGCCGAGTTGTCTGCCTGCTTTGCTCCCGACCGTGCATGCAGCAGTGCCGCCTGACGCTCCCGCCAATCTCTAGGGCCAGCCTGCACCCCCATTCCGTCCAGCCTTGGTGTCGCCCTCCGTTACCGCCGACATGCCTTGGCTCCCGATTTGGTCCCCGACCCCAGCCCTGCCCCTCGCTCTGGCCAACTTGTGTTGATTCGGCCTGGTTCCCAGCTGCCCTCGGCCCTGGTGCTGCTTTCCTTCCGCTGCCGCCAGTCTCTTTGGCCAAGCCCTGTCCCAATCTATCCCTGGCCCCGGTGCTGCCCTCCGACCTCCATGGCTCGGTCATGTCCCCAACGCTTCGGTGTTGCCAGCTGCCCCCACTATTTTCCATGGTTCGGCGTTGTCCCCGACTATGCTTAAGTCGGGCCTGTCCCTCTGCAGGAGGAATATTCAAAAATAGTCAAAAAATAGTCTGGGTACGATTGTTTGACTTTGGGCACATTTGGGAGCATTTGTTTGTATGTTTTATGTTTCGTCGAAAATCTCCTTGTAGGGGGACAGGCCCGACTTGAGACTATGCCCGAGTGTCGTTGGCTGCGGTGCTCTGCAGCGCTGCGCCCCCGTTCTGCAGCAGGCGAAGCACACGTGGTGGCACGCGTCGCTGATCTGGAGCTGCGCAGAGCTGGAGGTGTGGAGGCCAGCGGTGCCGCGGTTTTTCCTCCTCGTCCTCCTATTTCGCGTCTCGCCCTCCTCGCTCTCATCTCTCTCGTCGTCCTTCCTATTCCGCGTCCTTATTCGTCGTTCGTATCCTGTTCGTCTTCCTGTTCCTATCCATTCCTGTTCGTCGTTCTCGTCTCTCTCGTCGTCCTTTTTGCCTCCTCGTCCTCCTATTTCGCGTCTCGCCCTCCTCATTTGGTCGCAGAACTTGTGGAGGCCTCATCTCCCGCGTTCGCGTCCTCCTCCTCACCCCCTCCTCCCATCACCATCACCTCGCCATCTTCCTCGTTACCCACCTCCTGTCCTGTTGGCTGCACATGTCCCCTGGGCACCACGTACGGTAGGAGCGCTCACGGAGCGGCTCGCGACATCGGGGAGACGCGCTCGCGGAGCGGAGCAGGCGTCGGCGAGGGACGCGAATGGTGGACAGGAGGAGGGGTAAGAGGGTGCCCAGGAAGGGGAGGCAAAGGCAGCCTTCCCTCCCCGCTCCTGCCCTCGGGCTGCTCCCCTCCTCCCTCCCCCGCTGGCGTCGCGAGGGGGCCTGCGGACGGCAAGCCGGGCGCGGGCACCTTCAGGACCTACGTGGCGCAGATCGTGCAGCACGCGCTGTCTCCACACCCGGAGGCCTTCCGACGCGCGGGAACGTGGACGAGGAGAAAGGAGGAGAAAGAGGACAAAGGATGAACAGGAGGAGGAGGAGGAGGAGGAGGAGGAGACGCGGGGGAAGAGGAGGAGGAGACGGAGGAGAAAGGAGAAGGAGAAGGAGTAGGAGGCGACGGCGACGGCGACGGCGACGGCGACGGCGACGGCGACGGCGGCGGCGGCGGCGGCGGCGACGACGACGACGACGACGACGACGACGACGACGACGACGACGACGACGACGACGACGACGACGACGACGACGACGACGACGACGGCGAGGAGGAGGAGGAGGAGGAGGAGGAGGAGGGAGAAGCCGTTGCTCGCTCGGGGTGGGGCCCGCGGGGGCCCACGGCGGGCGGCGGCAGCGCGGCGCCGCCACAGGGGCTGCGCGCTGGGGAAAGGGCCCCACCCACCTCCCGCTGCTGGCGGCCCCTGGTGGCAGCAGCCTGCGCCTCGAGCGGCCTGGCCGACGGCCACGAGGCTGGAGTCCCCCTGGCAAGCTCGAACACGGCAAGCCGAACGCCCCAGAGTCCGCCTGAGGGCCAGCTTGAGTACGGCAAGCTGACAGGGGAGAGCGGGCCCCTGATCGACTTCAGCATGAGCGTCATGGTGTCCATGGAGCAGAATCGGCTCCAGGAGACGACCCCGATCCTGGTCGAGGCGCTCAAGGGAAACAGGCCAGACCAGGCCCAGCTGCAGACCCAGCTGCTTGCTATGAACCTGCAGCTGGCGCCGAACATAGCCGAGACCATTTGTTCACCCACTACGACAAACAGTTCATCGACACCAGGGCCAAGGTTCACGCCTTGTCCGGATGGACTCGGCGCTTCTGTGTTCCAGGTTTCGAGGCCTGGCGGGCGTCTCAGTGCGGGGGTGAGAGACCCACTGAGGGCGTAGACCATCTCAGTGCGGGGGTGAGAGACCCACTGAGGTACCCTGGTCTGTGGATCGTGTCCCAGGCTTGCGCTGCTCAGGTCTGCTCTGTAGTGTGATGTTCTCCGGCGGCGTCATCGGCAACGAATTCGTGATGCGCATATCGACGTCAACACGCTCGTCTACTGACTTGCATGCCTTTCGGATTTCCCTGTGCAGTTAGGGATCACCTTTTCGTCATTACAGCTGACCCTCGGTATAGTCCCTCGCATAACTGGGCCTTATCGCGGTCCACTCGACATTTTGTCTTGTGGCGGGGACAATCGCTGACTCGTTTAATATCTGCCGCCTTTATCTCTGCAGCGTGGCTGGGCAACTTTTCACAAGGTGCGCTCTTGTGAAGCATAGGCCGCGGTGGCTCCAACAGGCCTTGTGAACTAGTTGCGAACAAGTTCACAAAAGGAGCAAATGGTTGCACAAGTTTACTCTTGTGAACTACACCTCCCATGTAGCATCATTGTGCAGGTAGGGGGCTTTCCGTTCCACCTGGCCTGCCCTGTGTAGTTTCGCACTCCAGGTAACCAGTGCGCTCTGAGGGTGACCATAGCGTCCGCCCTGAGCAGTTTACCATTTCCCTAGGAGATGCGATGCGTGTCCTCGGGCTCAGAGGACAGGTAGCCCCTGTTCATTTTTGTGTTAAGTTCATCGGCAACCTGTGCGAGAAGGCCGATCTGATACAATACGTCCTGGAGCAATTCCAGGACCCCGCTGACGCGAAGCGCACCAGATGACGCTCGAGTTCCTCGGGCATTTCTTCGGCACGATGTTCCCCGCGACGGGCCTGGAGTGCATGTACGAGCGCATGCGGTACAGCTCGCATCCGCGGGCTGCTAAAGGAGGAGGGCGGAGGGCTGGAGGGGCTGGATGCGGACGCCTCGGACCCCGAGCTCCCGCTGCTGACCGTGTGGTGGCAGGCTCAAGTACTAGGTCCCTCTTGTCGTGGCGGCACCCCCCGATATCAAATGCAGCGAGCTCCCGTTGAATCGGGCCGCGGGGGCAGGGTGGGACAACTTAACGGGGGACCTCTACCTTTTGCTTGCGTCGCCGTTCTGCCAGTGTTTCCCCTTCGCTCCTGTGCATCACCCAGTAGATGATCTGCACCATCGTCGCCCATTGTCCTATCTCATCTCGTCCGAGCTCCAGCACTTGTGGTCGCCCGTGCTGCGACGCGGCTCGTTCTAGGAGGCCTGTCGTAAAGGCGCGGCCTTTTCCAGGATATGTTCGTCCTGACGGCGCGGTCCGTGCCAGGACAAGTTGGCCATAGCGCCTCTCGTGAGCGTTGTGAACGTGAGTCTCGCACTGTCTACTCTGCCTCCCAGTTGCCCAGTTCACCGTAGTTTGGCGCCCGCCGCTGACCTTGGAGTGTCTTTAGCGATGGACCTCGTAAGCGCGAGACGCATGCTCTCTCGCTCGTTCTCCAGCATATGCGGGTCGCTGGAAGAGGAGAGCAGTGGTGGGTGATTGAATGGTCTCTCGTTTTGCATACACCTTCCCTTTAACGAGCTGTTGGTGGTGACTGTCGCGATGCCTCCGAGAGCTCCTGCTGTTCTGTGCAAGGCTCACCTTTCTTGCTCCTGTTGCTGCTGCTGTAGCGGCCGCCTCTGACGGTTTGAGCCCCTGAGAACCAACAGCTTGCCTAAGAAAAAAGAAAAGGAGGAGGGAGAAGGACGACGACGACGACGACGACGACGACGACGACGCCGACAATGACGACGAGGGAGAGGGACGAGGAGCAGGAGAAGGAGGAGGAGGAGGAACAGGAAGAGGAGGAGGGGATGGAGACGAGGAGACAGAGAGCAGCAGCAGTGGGAGCAGCAGCAGGGCAGGCTGCACGAGTGCACGGGTGGCACCAGGGAAAATAGAGAAGGGAGAGTTGGAGGAGGTGATTTCTCCTTGTCGCACCCCGAGGCCGCTCGAAAGGGCGGGCGGGGCGTTTCGCCTGACACTTCTTCGCCACGTATGGCCCTGAAGCTTCAAAAGTTGGGCAACAGTTTCACAGATGGAGGGCGGGTCGTTTTCAAAAGTTGGCTCTCGCCTTAGCGCCGCGCACATTCGTTTTTAAAACATGCAAGAGCTTCACGGATAGATCGCAGATGGTTTTCGAAATGTCGTTCTCGCTTCAGCGCCGCGCACATTCGGTTTGACAATGCGCAAGCGTTTCACGGATTGAGGGCGGGTGGTTTTCAAAGTGTGGTTCCCGCCTTGGCGCCACGCACATTCGTTTTCACAATGCGCAAGCGCTTCACGGATTGAGGGCGAATGGTTTTCAAAATGTGGTTCTCGCCTCCGTGACGCGCACACTCGTTTTTAATTTTTGCAAGAGCTTCACGGATTGGAGGCGGTTCGTTTTCAAGATGTGGTTCTTGCCTTAGCGCCGCGCACATTCCTCTTTAACAGTTGCCAGGGTTTCGCGGGTTCCCATGGTCAACGTACCAGACATGGTGTTTTGGAAAGATTCAGGGTTATGAGGGCGCAACAGTTACGTTGATTCGCGGTGTTGAAGTCCTAGGAATGGCGTTCTGGCACGATCCAGAATCGTCAAGGCGCAACAGTCAGGTTGATCCGTGGCGTTGGAGTCCCGAGGATAATGGTTTGGTATGTTTCAGGGTCTTCAAACGGTAGTCTTCCAACGAGGCATTTCCTTCAGTGGAAATGAACCGTTGTAGGGGCCTGTGACGAGGGAGCTTGGAAGGAGGTTTTATTCCAACATCGTTGACGATTCTTGGGTTTGCATTGGTTCTCCTTCTCCTCCTCTTCTTTGTTCTTCCTCCTCTTCCTCCTCCCCCCGCGGTGTTATCACTCCTCCTCCTCCTCCTCCTCCTTTTCCTCCTCCTCCTTCTCCTCCTCGTCCTCCTCCTCGTCATCCTCATCCTCATCCTCCTCCTCTTCCTTCTCCCCTGACGGCGTTATCACTCCCCTCCTCGTCCTCCTCATCCTCATCCTCCTCCTCATCCTCATCCTCCTCCTCGTCCTCCTCCTCCCCTTCCTCCTCATCCCCCGTCTCCTTCCTCCTCTTCCTCCTCCCCCCCCCACGGTGTTATCACCCCTCCTCCTCCTCCTCCCCCTCCTTTTCCTCCTCCTCCTTCTCCTCCTCGTCCTCCTCCTCGTCATCCTCATCCTCATCCTCCTCCTCTTCCTTCTCCCCTGACGGCGTTATCACTCCTCGTCGTCATCATCATCATCAACATCATCATCCTCTTCCTCCTCCTCCTCGTGGATATCGCGGGAGACGCGCTGCTGGAGCTGCTCAGAAAGCTGGCCCCAGGGCAGCCGAAGATGGCCAATCGCTTCCTCCTGGCGGTGTTCCACGCGATCGAGCCCCAGGACATCCCAGACGAGCAACACCGTATCCGATCCATCTTCTCATATACAGAACTCACCAGATACAAAGTACGGTGTTGTCTGGGCGGAGGAGGCGGCACGCAAAGCTGGTCTTGTTGTCAGCCTCTTGAGATACAGCGCGACACACGTACTGAGGTCGAGGGCATGGGTGGGGGGCGAAGCTTTTCGTCAGTATGAGCGATTCTGCCGGACACGACACGGCATGCGCACGTTCCGCGCATGCAGTCGCGACCCTGCCGAAAACATTGTATAGATGCTGGCATTCGACATCACTGAAACCGAGAGCTCTCCCACCCCACACCCGGGTTTATGGGACGGTAGTTTCGAGCGCAAGTTGCCATGTGGTGACTATGCCACTAGCGGCTATGAATGAGACACTGGCGATCGAGCCGCTCCTCATCCGGGCATGCAAAGGGCATCTTCAGAGCTGTCAGAGCCAAGCGGCAGTATGTCAGATACGAGCCCTTTTGCCGTGACATGCGCATGTTTGTCGTCGCCCCACTCGCTTGCACTGCTGCTGTACAATCCATGGTGGGACAGCTTGTGACGCTGGAACTCGATATCGGGGGAGCACCACAATACAAGCTTTTCAGCTTCCTCCCCACGAGATAGGCCGATTACCCAGTTGACGACAACTATGTTATCAGATCCGATCAAGATGAAAAACCAGCGGCGGGTGCCGTCGCACATGTTCGGCGGAGCGA